GGCTATATAGACTGTGAGAGAAAAAATATTTTTGAAAAAAAATTATTGTATACTCCACCGCAAATAGAAATGTGAGAAAATTTAGAAAGAAGACTTTTGACAGGTAAGCAAAATTTGTCTTTTTCCCATTTTTTTTCGGCACAAATAGCTTAGAAGTTCACAAAGTTAGACCTATATGTCACTGGCACAAAAAACAACAAACATTTAAATACCTTCAAAGAGACCTGCTTGCGGACACAGATGCGGGCGAGGAAGAAAGCCATAAAAACAAATTATTTCAACAAATTTAATAGTAATTGTGATGAAAAGTATCACAGAACGAAGAGAAGAAGCTTTCACAACAAGAAAGTGCTTTGTATGGTGAGTAAAATTGTAGTTTTTCTGAATTATGTTAGTATCCTTTTAATTTATATAAAGCAAGAACAATTTTTGACAATACTAAATGCAAACATACGTAGCAATTCAAGGTCAGTGTGCAAGTTCAGGTCAAGGCCAAAGCCACCGTTTCCGTTTATCAACACTTTAAATACCTATCGCTAATAAAATGAGCAGTGTAAATGCTGTGAAAAATAGACACTACGAAACTCTCGATATGGAGAATATAGCTATAAAGTTGTAAAGGCCTAGAAAGCTAAAACTACATAATTTTAAAAGCTTCTTGCGATGATCGCATCAAGCAAAGTTACGGGGGCATATGGCCTTTGCCGACTTTCGTATACTGATAAAAAAACATACAATATAAACCCTATATTTTATCTGGTGTATAAGGTTTTGTTTAATATCATTTCAAGTAAGCTGTAAACATTTAAAAGCTATGAAAAAAAACATTCAAATATTATATAGTAAGCCTGGTCAACAAAATATTCAAATCATATATATTTTATAGGATTTTTAAAATTCACTTACCCATGCACTGCAAGCATACAAATTTTCCTATTTTCATTTCCCAGTCTTTTATAAATATTATACCAGTGATATTATCTTTTATAAATATTATACCAGCCATGAGTAAACGTCGTGGTGGTGTATAAAACGGTATTCATTCGAAATGCCAACCGACCCGGCGTTCATTGTTCAGTTAGAATTTTCAAAAAATAGTTGTTCATACATGTGTGTTTCAAGTCACTTCGCGCTTCGATTTTCACCCACAATTGTTGCATGAAACAGCAAGTCAACGCTATCTTGTCCATAAGATGATACTATGAAACAGTAAGTCAATGCTACCTTGTCCGTAAGATGCAATGCTATGAAACTCTTGAGAATAGGTTTGCTTTCAAAATCAATTGTTCCCTGTTTTGATGTGGTTTTGATATATATTTGAAAAAACAGCACATCATAGGCCAATCCATTCCAGACAGAACGAGTGGTAGTATTCCTTATTAAGTACAACCATAAACGAAAACAATTTTTAACTTTTAAGGATATATTTTTCATCACAATCCTTGCTCAAAAACCCTTCAAACAATTTGAATGCGTGATTGACAGAATGACAGTAGAAAAAATGTTCAAACTTTAAAGTCACGTGTGCTATTGCAATATTGTCTCACTCATGACTGGGAGGGGTGGGTGCGCATATTATTAATCTCAAAATTGAGAATAACATACGTACAGTGTATAATGAGAAAAGTATGCCGAGGGTTAACTTAAATAGTAATGACTGAATTAAGTTAAAAATGACAACTGCTACCGAATATTAGAACAGCTTTATTAATTAAATGTGTTTTTGCATAACATTCCTATATTTCAGATTGCTATGACGTGCAGTCAGTTAACATGGACAAAAGAGCAGAGCGATGCCTTGAGAGTGGCTGAGACAGGACATAATCTTTGTATACTTGGCAAATCAGGTAGGTATACTTGATACATAATGGCATGGCATATGGTATAAATTCATATGGATGCCTAGGTAGCAAACTATAATTTAAGTGTAAGTGTTAAAATTGAGAATTTGACAACGACCCATTTAGATATGTTTTGTTCTAACAATAGGATGCGGGAAATCTACTGTTATCAAAGAAATTAATAAGGCTTTGTCCCGAAATGGAAAGAATTGCCAGATTGTATATCCAAGCGGAGCTGCTTGCAAGGTCTACCGTCAAGCAGTGACTGTCAACTCCTTATATGGTCTGCACACTGCTGAGTTACCAGTGCCATTGCTCATACAGCGATCACTTGAGCGAAACGACATCGTAAAACAAATTAAATCTTTGGACATGCTGATATGGAAGGAGATCTCAATGTCCAGTTTACGAATTTTCCACATGGTCAATCTACTTCACCAGAAAATCTTAAACAACTCATTACCCTTCGGCGAAATCCAGACTGTTCTTGGCGGCGATTTTTGTCAGTTAAAGCCGATACACAGCTCATTAGATTCTGGAGATTCCGTCTAAAAGTTAACAAGGTTTTCCCCCATAGAATTGTTTTGGAAGAAGTTAAGAGGCAAGATGAAAGTGAAGAAAGGCTCAAGAAAGCTTTAGACTGTTTACGAATGGGCATTTGTGATTATGAAACTGAGGCGTATATGCTATTGGCGCTTCCTAGAGAAATTCTCAAGTACAATAGCATTGACACAGGATGCCTTAGCCTTCTTAAAGACACCGTTCCGAATGTTTTTGCACTTGAAACCTGGGTGTGAGGTTATGCTATTATTTAACATTAATAGCTCATTAACCAACGGTACTCGTGGTACATTCATCAGACCAGATACCAAGGACAGCACCAACAACAACCTGTTGGTTAATTTTTTAAACGTTGGGGACGTTCCTCTTAGTAGAAAATCACGGAAACAACCAGTCAAGGAAAGTACGGTTTGAAAAACCGTAACAATTTGAAAAAGACAAAGAAGCTCGTCTAACCCATCCTCCATCATCTTTTCATGTAAAGACCTTCCTGGAGTCATTAACCAATGAAGAAAGTACGGACATTCTCACTCAATCCATCAAAGACGCTGCTCATTATGGTATTGAAAATTTGGAAATGTTTTTTTTGGTGCAGGGTGAAGCAACTTTTCGATGATCATATCCCAGAGAATGCTCAAGAAGATCAGATACACATGTCTGCGTAACATATCACGCAGGTTACAACAAAATTGAATGAATTGTTTCTAACAAACAATTACCGAAGTGACATTATGACGGTATTTAACTTCAATTGTTGGTCAGACGTCAGTTGTGGCCAGAGATCTCTTGGGGTGCAACTTTTGTTTTAGATGTACCAGATGTTCGTTGCTGAAATTGGCAAATCTCCTCAGTCGTTATAGCTCCTTGTCAATCCTAGAATCCTATTTTAGGGATCGTAAAAATAGGGTCAGACTTGCCAATAACGTGAGTAGCGATTGGAAAACTGTTACGCGTGGTTGTCCACAGGGTTCCTCATTGGGACCAGTTTTGTGGAACATATATCAAAATGATTTGTTCTACGAAAACAGCTCACAACTCTCAATGTACGCGGATGATCACCAACTTTATTCCTCAAATCAATCAATCCAAGAAGCATCAATGGTACTGGAATTGGATGGGAAAACCACGGGTGACTGGTATAAGGATAACCATTTGGAAGCTAATTTTGACAAATATCAGGTTATGATGATGACCAAAGGCAATAACGGCAATAATACAGATGTAGATATTGACAACCATACAATACGTCAGGCGAAGCAGATGAAACTTCTAGGAGTGACTTTAGACGAAGATCTGAATTTTTCTGAACATGTGTCCAATATTTGTAAGACAACGAGTAAGAGAATTGGGGTATTGATGAGGCTTAGGAAGCTGATACCAACTACTGCAAAATTGCATATATACTAGAAGTTACTATCGCAAGGAAAGTGCTGCCAAGGAATCTGGAAGGTATTTTGATTCTCATAAGTTAGTACGATGGAGAACTTGATTGTCATTGTATGGTGTTGTCATCGGTAGAATTAGCGACGTGCAGTCACATCAAAGAATATTAGATATTTGAGAGATGAGTTGGATATGTAAAATGTTTATTTACCTAAAATTATTTACCTACGTACATTTATTTACCTAAGATTGCGCATTACAGACATCACAACAAATCACAATACAATGGAAAATTCTGCTTACTGTACATGCAGAAGATCAAATTCTCCAACAATACACAGTGTATGTATGTATATTGTACAAAGTTGAAAATACTTATTCTTGAAAAAGAGTTCTTTTAAGTTCATCTTATCATCATAATGAAATGGTGAAATGGCTACATACCATTCATTCATTTAGATTACTTGATAAATTGTGTGTTTTGTTATAAAACAGTCTTAATAACCAATTAAAGGCTATTATTTGTAACTATCAGGTCCATGACGTTAATTTGTTTTCCCAATGATACCACACAACTAACAGATAACAGTATATCCAGTAATGGAATTGTTTTGGCAACATAGTTTAACAGATTTAAGGACGTTAATTGTAATTACCAGGTCGATGAGACTAAATTTATTTGCTTCAGTTGTCCAATAATACCATAACGACCATTATGTAACCAGTATACCATGCAGGAGGTCCCTTCCTGTGTTACTGTTTTTTCATTTAATATCATGTTTCTTGACTTTTCTGCACGAATGATTTTCAAAGATGAGTTCACAGTGTTTCCGTTATTAAGAGTAATGCAATTGTTTGAACAGCTTAAATTCCAATAATGAGTGATGAGTAATGATGGCATTATTGTTGCTAATCCAGTTACTGCTTCATATTTTTATTGACAACCAGGAATCTGCAAAACAAGATAACAGTTTTTCAGAATACATTGCATTTGCTCTAGCTCGATGAACATTGTAAAGGGAAGAGAAATACAGATAAAATAAAATGAAAACTTACCATATAACATTGATCTTGATCATCATATTTTCATGCATACAGTAGAAATTTATATAATTATTAATCAAACAATACAGAATACAGTTACAATAGGAATAAAGTCTATTGGGATGCTTTAGAGATTCCCATGTCTAATTTCAAACGCCATCGTTTGATTATTTAAAATGCACTGCTATTGGTAGTCTGTGCTAAATGATCTAGGCGGTATTCTTCCTCAAGCCTGTATTGTAAACTAGCTGATGATTTCAAGCTGGTTAAACGTTCAAACGTCATGGGTTCAATGACGCAAGATGAAAGAGATCTCACTCTGCTTATGGCGACGTATGAAACACCAGCAGTTTTTTCTGATTTTCCAATATCTATCCAAGCTTTTGGAAGAGTTAGTCCTTGGCTTTTGTGAATTGTAAGAGCCCAGGCGAGTCTTAGAGGCAACTGTTGCCGTTCATGAAACCCAGATTCTGACTGTGACGAGACTGTGATTGGACATATCGGAACACAAGAAGGTTTGTTCACATTAAAAGCAGGACCTCTATAGTTCTCAAAGTCAACAATGACAGCAATAGGCAAGTCAGGTGGTTGATGGTTGTTCTGATAGACAATATCAACAACTGTTCCAGTAGCTCCATTACAGAGGCCAACACTTGACCATAAATTCATGGTCAACATGACCCTGGCGCGTTTTGCTAGAAATACAACAGGTTCCAAACCAGACATATCATCTGGCGACATCTTTTTGGCCAGTGCAGAGGAATGGTGAGCATTGATATGAGCAGTTGGATGTTCAAGTTTTGTTAGCTGTTCATTATTGTAATTTGCAACTTGTTCATTACTATAGAAAAGTCTAGTAGCATCTTGAAAGTCGCCTAAATTAATGACATTGGATGGTTGACGTGTGAGAAGTAATTTCCAGTCATCAACTGTTGACTCACCTTTGCGAAGTCGCAACAACAGATCTCTGAACTGTATTTGTTCATGTGTCATACCCTGCACACGTTGATTTACAGTAAGCTTAACAACTTTGTCAAACATATGATACGCTTGATAACCTTGCTCACCAACAGCATTTGATGGGTTAGCATGATAGAGAGGCTTATCTGCCACTGGTGGCAATTGACCTGGATCACCAGTTAAAATCAATGACTTCCCACCAAATACTTTCTGATTATGACCAGTTGCTTGTTTACAACGCTTATCTATCCAACCAAAAGTAACTTGACCAAGCATGGAGTATTCATCAATTATGATGTATTCGATGTTATTAACGCTGTCTTGTAATCTACACAAGCTTTGTCCTGTTAAGTCTTTATTACCTTTTGAGCCTATAGGTAACTTTAACAATGAGTGCACAGTTACACCCTTAATGTTATAAGCTGCTTTACCGGTGGTAGCAGTAATAGCACATTTACCTTGCAAAAGATTTCTAAGAGAATTAATAAGGTAACTTTTACCTGTTCCTGCAACACCATTTATAATTAGACATAACTGTGACATCTTTGAAGGTATTGTCTCTGCCTTTAACTTTAACAATAATAACTGCCAAGTCTTTAGGGTATCTTGGCAATGATGTTGCAAGTTCTTTGACATTTTGTGGCAAGTTAATACAATGGCCTGCATAACCTTGTTGACCACCAGGTTTAATATAAATTCTCATAATAGGCAAGCATGAGCAATTAACATTTCCTCAACCTGAGTCGAGTCTTTTAATTCATTTGAAACATGAGAAGGTATCATGGAATTTTCACAAGAAAATTTTTTTGGAGATTTTTTGTCTCTCAAGCATCCTGAACACTCATAAGCTGACCTTGGTTTAGATTTCAAAGGCCATGCTTCCTGGCATACTGTACATTGACTAACAAAATATTGGACAGCCTTGTGAAATTTGTTAATGTTAGTATTAGCCCAATGCTGTTCTTCAATACCCCCATTTTCAGTGGTGTCAAATGTATTTAAATAATTTTGTTGAGTTACTTCACATTGAGGTCGTGCCACTGTTTTTTCAAGTCGCAATTGTTTGTTACTGTCAGTTTCCATTGATTTCTTTCTTTTGTAAGACTCCCTTCTTTTGTGAAGTCTAATATGTCTTTCACTCTCAGTTTCCTGTGAATGCTTTCTTTTCTTCAATTCCCTAGCTTTCTGAAGCCTAATTTCTCTATCACTGTCAGTTTCTTCTGATCTCTTCTTTTTTTTATATTCTCTATCACTCTGATGTCTAATTTTCCTTGCATTATCAGTTTCCCTTAGACGGTTTCGTTTTCTAGAATGTCTAGCATTACAAAGAGTAGATTTTGTTTCATGTTTTGTTTCACAAGGCATTAAATCCACAGGTATAATTTCAAATAAATTGGTATGTAGTTCTACAGATAGAAAATATAAGTGTTGCTCCAAATCTAAAACATTAAACTTCATGACAACAGCTGTGCCATTAGGATTAGGCATGCCACTAAAGTCTCTGGCATGTGACTCAAATAAAAAGAAAAAATCTTCTTGCTTTATTATGGCCATCATATAACCTTCTAATATCAAAATAGCACACCTATTTTTCAAAAAAGTATTCAGAAGTGCTGTGTGAATATTAAAGTAATGAGACTCGATTTCTCTATCACTTATGACAATACCTTGAAACTCTTTTTTATAATTTATAACCCACATTTAATATTCATTTTCTTTGCTATTAGGCTTTGCAGAGCAGTGTAGATTAGAATTACTTTGTGCCTCAACAGGCGCCACCACAATGGGTGGTTCAATGATAGTTTGTGCCTCAACGGGCTGCACCACAATGGGTGGTTCAATGATAATTTGTGCCTCAACGGGCTCCACCACAATGGGTGGTTCAATGATAATTTGTGCCTCAACGGGCTCCACCACTATGGGTGACTCAATGATAGTTTGTGCCTCAACAGGCTCCACCACTATGGGTGGATCAATAATAGTTTGTGCCTCAACGGGCTCCACCACAATGGGTGACTCAATAATAGTTTGTGCCTCAACAGGTTCCGCCACAATGGGTGGTTCAATGATAGTTTGTTCATGAGAACCAGTAGTTAGTTTTGCAAATTGACAAATTTCGAAAGTAGGCTCATTTTTACCACTCAGAACTAAACTAACAACTGTTGGTAAGTTATCTATGGATAAAAATTCCACACCTGGGTCTAAAACAATTAAGCCATTATTCAGAGATTTTAAATACAATTTGTCCCCTTGTAATAAAACATTATTAAATGTCGATTCAGTCCATTCAGCTAATGGGTTAATTTGGGCAGTTAAAATTGCTGATAAACTCATAAAAGCACATTGCTTTCCCCTAGATTGAACACTAAATAGTTCATCGCCTTGATGTATACTTGCAGAACGAAATATAGCCATACTTACCTAAATTTTTCCGGATTATTTGCTTCGAAACTTGAACACATTCAATTTAATATATAAATAACATGCGGTATGATGATATCACAAAATGTATCGCAATAGCATTTCTGACAGCAACCGCTGAAATTTTCTGGTTTATACTGTAGGAAACATCAGTTACAATTCTCAATCTTTTTTACGTTTTCCCTCGTTTTCTCAATATTAAATTAATCGGTAACTCAGTAAGGAATCACAATGTAAATAACACCTGACAGAATAACCGCTGAGAATATACAGCATTTGAAAGAATATTTGAAAGACAATTATGTCATTTTATTCCAATTTATTGCGAATTTTTCAAATGAAATATCTTAACTAATAAGTTTTTTTTTTTAACATTTATTAATTTTGCCCAATTAATAACATACATATATATACATTTACAATGTTAATAACTACTATAAGGGCTAGGAGCCTACTAGAAACCTTTACAGGCTTTTGATTAAGGCCCCTAGTTTTTATGTATCTATGTAAAGTTTTTGGCAGTTCAAAACTTTCATAACAAAACAATAACTATAATCTTATATACAAAACTTTCAAAACAAAACAATAACTATAATCTTATATACAAAACTTTCAAAACAAAACAATAACTATAATCTTATATGCAAAATTGTAAATTAGGTAATTAAACCGCTACCTAGGATATACTACTCTAGAAATATATGGCCAAAGTGTATACATTTAGAATCTTAAAAAGAAGAGTTCTGAATACATATGAAATTGAAGTTTCATTAGTTGACTGTGATTTAATTAATTCTAATTGTGTGTAACGCAGATATTCAAGAAGTGCTTTTTAATTATTCTTTTAAAAGTTTCAAGGGATTTAATATTTTTATAGTTTTTTCCTAAACCATTCCAAATATCAACTCCCTTGTTTGAGAGAGTATGTTTTAGATAATTAGTCCTTTTATAAGTTTTATGGAGCTGTAATTTTTTTCTAGTATTGTGGTAATGAACATCATTATTAATTGTGAAATAGTTGTTGAATACTTCAGGTAAATTTTTTAGGTTAAAATATCGAAACATGAATAAACTTGTTAAAAAGTCATTCACTTGGAAGATGTTTAGAATTTCTAAATGTTTGAAGATAGTTTCAGTGTGTTCAGAGTATGATTTAAAAGTCATCAAACGCATAATTTTTTTTTGTACATTCATTATCTTTTGTATTCTCGTTTTATACGTTTACCCCAAATTAGGTTCCCATAAATCAGATATGGATAGACCAGTGCATAATAAACTAGCTTACGACTATTCAGATTAGTACAATGACGTATTCTGGAATGATACTTGAAGCTTTTATGATTTTTTTAGAAATTAAATTAATATGTTCTTTCCAAGTCAAGCACTCGTCCATAACGACGCCTAGAAATGTAGTGTTCTTAACTTGTTTTATTAATTGATCATTTATAGAAATTGTTATATTATGTTTCTGTTTTTTCTTTGATGATCTAAATAACATAAATTTAGTTTTAGTGGTGTTTATAGATCATTTATTTATATTCAACCAATCAGATATTTTATTGATTTCCATTTGTATAACTTCATTAAGTGTCTTAAGACAGTTATGACTATAAAATATACTTGTATCATCTGCAAATAAAATGATAGAAACTATTTTACTACAGTTTTGAATATCATTTATATATAATAGAAACAGCAGTGGCCCAAGTATTGATCCCTGTGGGACACCACTTTTTATTATCATTTCATCTGACTTTACTTTATTATACTTGACGATTTGTTTCTATGCTGTAAATAATTTTTAAACCATTTTAGACAGTTTCCTCTTATACCATAATATTCTAGCTTTTTAATCAGTATCCCATGGTCAATTGTGTCGAATGCCTTTGATAGATCAAGGAAAATACCGAGTGCATATTTCCCTTCATGAATTTCTTTCGTAATTTTATCAACAAGTTCAATTATTGCAAGTTCGGTTGATCTATTTTTTCTAAATCCATATTGGTGCTTAGATAGAATTTGATTTTTATCAATGAAACTAATTAATCTATTATACATTAGCTTTTCAAGTAGTTTAGAAAAGCAAGAGAGAACTGAAATTGGTCTGTAATTTTTAAATTTATTATTTTCATCTCCTTTATAGATGGGTGTTACTATTGCAAGCTTTACGTTTTCAGGAATAATTCCATTTATAAATGTTAAATTAAATATATGAGTAAGTGGTTTTGCAATTTCTCTTGCCAATAATTTTATTATTTTACTACTAATATTATCATATTCTGGACTTTTGTTTGGATCCATGTTGTTAATTTCTGTCTCTAGTTCATCTTCAGTTATTGGTGTTAGAAAAATGCTATTTGGATAGTCACCAGAAAGATATTTTTCAAAACATGTATTTATATTACTCCTGATGTTCTTAGCTAGATTAGGCCCAATATTGGTAAAGTATTCATTAAATTTATTAGATATTGTTTTGGGATCCTTTATTTCATTTGAAGAGTCAGTGTCAAAGAATGTCTTGGGTAGCTCTTTTATTTTTCTTTCTCTGTTAAGTATTTCGTTTAGTGTTTTCCATATCATTTTTGAGTTATTTTTATATTTTACTAATTGCTCCTCATAATAAACCTTTTTGGAAATTTTTATTGTGTGATTTAATTTGTTTTTATACGTTTTATATTTTTTTTCATTCTTTTTGCAAGGATTTGTTAGATAATGCTTGTAAAGTATGTTTTTTCTCTTAATTGACCTGAGTATGCCAATTGTCATCCAAGGACTTTTTACTGTGTTTATTTTATGTTTACAAGACTTTCTCCTAAATGGAAAATTGTTTTCATACACTGATGTAAATTGCTTAG